ATAAAGCATTTATTTATATTTTATATTAAAAGATTTTAATGATGGGTTAAAAAAATTAAAAGTAATTCTAAAATATAAAACATGCTTATAAATATGTACAGATAATCTTTTTTATGGTATATATATTAATTTTTACTTTTTTTTATCTAAATTCGGGAAAATGATTCACAAATGTGAATGATCTCTCTTAATAAAAACTGAAATTTAAAAAAGATCTCGTTTTTTATCAAAGATTGTTAAATTATATTTACTTTTTATTAAAAACAATACATATAAACATACACATACACACACACACATGCACACACACACACACACACACACACACGATTATTACAACAATCAAATAAAATCTGTAACTTCAATCGTTAAAAAAGTCACTGTAACTTTAGCGGTGGAATAATTATCATATCTCTAGGTTCTTATCATTATAATGGAAAGCGCAGTAAGATTTTTTTTCATAAAAGAAAAAAGTTTCTTAAATCTCAACTTCTCGATAACTGACTAATACAACTCTCTTTCCATGGAAGCATATTTTTTACAAATGCCAGTGAATATTGAGAACCATAATATTGCATGTTTATAAGGTAAATGTTTTCTAGTTTTGGAAGAAAGTATTTCTTCAAACGATTTGTTTTTGATACAAAAATATGTGTGTGTAGTGTAGAAATTGGTGATGCCACATTTTAAAACAACCGGTCATTAAGTGAGTTGTAGAGAATAAAAAGAAACGCTTTAGAATTTTGGATAATCAACTGAATGTTTTAGTTTAAGCTACGTGGGTAGTGACTTTTCAAAGGTTTAAAATAATATTACATATTTATTTTTGATATAAATATCATATTTACATTTAAAGCATTATTCTAACTACTGTAACATTTGTAAATGGGTATTGATAAATAATGTTAGCTTAATCCTGTGCAAGACTCTTTTATAACTTCTTATTTATTAATATCACAGTTAAATTTCCATTTTAATTATAATATATTTAAACTTTATACACTTTTAGCATCTTAAAAAACTGAATCTCGTTTATAAAATAATAATAATTGAAGAAATGAATATTAAAATTGTTGTAAGCCATAAAATAATAAGATTAAACATATTCCTAATGTTTCAGGAGCAATAAATTTTATCTGTTCTTTAATCTTTGTAACATGTGTTTGAAAACTTATCATCACCAGGTTTCACAATTTTTCCTCACGACAAAATGCATTTTGTTCGTGGATTTTATCTTAGGGTTATTACATAACCGGGGACTAGCGCGTGTGGAGTTAGGGCATAAATTTTAACCGTAACTTTTGTCAGTTAAGCTTGCTGAGAATAGCATAGAACATTTTATCTTTAATATTCACTTGAAGTGGAAAAAAATATAAATTATTATTGATACAGATCAAAAAGACTCCGTTACTTTTCAGCAATCAAACATTGGGAGTGTGGAGTTTGCAATAATAAAATACACATAGTATAATCCAAAAAATATTAGTTTCATTTAAATGAATACTCGCGAAAGTCTTAGACTCCATTAAAAAGGATTGTTTAAGATTAAATTCATTTTAAAATTATCAATCTTAATTAATATCATTACTAGTGAGCATATTAAATAATATTGTTAAAATTATTATACCTTTCTGTAGTTTCGTAAAATAATTTTCATTTTATTGTTAAAAGGTATTAATTTATTAAGCTTTAAATATAATTGAGTCACACAATAAAGCCGTTTACGAAAACAAATAATATAAAATGGAATGATTACATTCAGACATTACTGATGAATTAATTAAATAAATTGAAGTGAATTCATTTTATAAAACGTTAAATTAATCATCATCATCAACCTATCAGATCCCACTGTTGAGCCTCTTTCGCACATGGAAAAGGTTTGAGCATTAATCACCACGCTTGCTCAATGCAGCAATGCAGGTTGGCGATTTCAAACTTATTATTTGAAATTATAAGTCCAGATTTCCTCACGATGTTTCAATTCACTGTCTGTCAGTGGTATCTAAATATTCTTAGTAAGTACATATGACTCGGAAAAATCATATTGGTACTTGCCAGGTTTCGAACCCGAGTTTTCATGCGTGACAGGCGGACATTTAACCACTAGGCCACTATGACCACTTATTATTGATTAAAAAGGTTCAATAACTTATCTCATCTTTATACTATTAGACTACAGAGTAAGAGGTTCGTTCTTGATGTAGATTTAAGTGAGTTAATAGAGAATTTGGAATGAAGCCAATATGAGTAACACTTAATGTCTTGAAGATAGATAACTCGACAACAGAGATATTGTAATTATTATATATATTTTTATTTAGGAAGCTGTAAGTAGTAGTAGTACGCGAATTTTGATATATAATGAGTAAGCAAAGTCAGAGTATACCACATGTCTAATTTATTCTAGCATTTAATATCTTTTTTAGTAATTCATATTTGATATTGCGTTAGCGTATTATACAAAATCATCTTTAAAGCTTTGTTTTAATAATGAAAATTAGACAGTGATGTAATATTTTTGAATAACCTATATTTTAAGAGCGAGTAAAATAATGTTGAGAATATATTTTAAAACATTAAAAACAATAGCTTTTGTGAAATGAATTGTTCAAATTTTGTTAGTCGTGATACTTTTACTTTTCCTTTAATAAATTAAAATAAACATATTGTTGAATGATAAAACATATGTAATATTTATGTATATTATATATATAATGTACGCATAATGGAATTTTATATCATATAAAAAAATGAACATAGAATTGATATGATTACTTCAGATCGTAAACCTTTACGAAACCTTGCTGAATTTCATCATTATGTATTTGACTATTATTATGTGTAAAAGACATATATTTCATAATCTATTATTACTTCAGTTTATTAATTTTTGTATTAAAATTTACCCTAAAGCTAAATAGAACAAAGTAAAGTAATAATGACTTCATACTTTTCAAGACTTAGTTTTCTTTTCATAACTTATTCCTTGTTCATTAAGATAAAGAATATTATGTTAAATGAAATTCCATGACCGAATCACATTATATGAGATAGCACATAATGTAATTTTTTAGAAATCTCACACATATATATATATACATATATATGTGTGTGAGATTTCTATATATGGTTTTCAAGTTTTGAATACTTGCCCCGTATCGTGTCGAAGCAATGAGCAAATCACTTAAGAATAATTAATTTGATTAAAAATCCTATTCCCTATCTTACATAGATATTAAATTATAACACCTTTTTCTTGACTACTAAATTTATGTACTATTTTTAACGCTATGGCTTCATTCGCACTAGAATCGTGGAATATCTTGCTAATTTCCTTTAATAATAAGTTTACTTAATTTATCAACACAATCCTAATATATATTTTATCGTCAAAAACTCCACCGTGACACGCATCATTAATATGACGTGGTCTTCTATATTATAAATTTTTTTCAATGTGGATTTTAATCTTATAAATTGGATCACTCAAGCATATGGGAGTCTACATATATTTAGATAGTGACGATTTGAATTCCAAAATTGTCAGTGTTTGCTCAAGTAAGATTTGCAAACGTATGCCATTAATTTGTATTACAGAATGTCTTTGTCACGACGAAGGTCTTTCGTTTATCAAATGTCTTTAACGATTGATATTAATTTTGGGTCTAAGAGATTGAACTTTAAAAAATATTTAATCAAATACGAATGTTGTACAATGCTATTCTTATATACATTTTTTGTGCCAAAAATGAAGCAGTAATTTGTCGTCACTTTAATTAATATTATTGGGTTTTAAAGTTCGAAGTATTGTTCGGAATTTAATGAAATAACCGATCATTTAAACTACAAATAAAATTATTTTATTATTGGTGTGATATCACATTAATAGTATGTGGTCTTTTAATCCTTAAGCAATTATTTATATAACACTGAATTATTAAATTATTTTCATTTTACGTGAAATTTTAAATGAACCAATTTCTTTTAGGATTTGTTTGTCTTACAGCTAATAATAATAGAATTTTTCATGTATGAATAAATCAATAATTAATTCAAAGTAATAAAGCTAAAAAATATGGAATATAAGAAAAAAAACTTATGAACGCGTAATATTATTAATAACTCTTATAATAATTTTATCATGAACGAAGTGTTGTACTTAATTCATTTATGCTTTCATATTTCTTAATAAAACAAAGTCTTTTTATTATTGTAAACATACTTTTTTAGTAACATGAATTAATATATTGCTATTTAATTAACTTGTAATGTTACTTAGTGATCTGTAATTATGAAATCCTTAATTTTATCCTAAGTGTAGTTAAGTACAACTAATTTGCGTACTTACAGTTTCAGACTCATCTTGTTTAATTGCAGTAAATACTTTCTTAGTACCTTTTTATATCTATCATTTAATGTATGTTTGTTTCTCAATATTCCTTTTATTTAAACGAATCACTTACTTTTCTTATATTTTTATAATATTAAAATTATTAGTATGATAATTTAAATTAAGTAATTTGTATGAAATATGTCATACAATGATACAGTTTAAAAATGAACATACCTAATTCTTTAATATGTTGATATTTTATGTATAGAAAAACTTCACTAAAGGGACTTTTTAAAAAGCATCACACAAATAATATCTTGTATTTACTTTATGGAGTTCTACTTTTATTACAGTTGGTAACTTTATTCCAACATAATGCCAAATTGTGTTACAAAGGTCCCATTGAAATGCGAATCAATATTGAAACTACCTCTATATACTATAAATAATTTGAAAGTATTTTCTGTTAGGATCAGTTTCGTACATATTTTACTTGATTTTTCTTAACTGTCTAGGTGAAATCTTATTTCAAAGATAGGTTTATTCGGGTGAGTGACTTAAGAAAATATGTAATATGTAGTATTTATATTAAAAACATTGTAAGGTTTGTGGTGACTACAAAGAAAGTTGCTTGCATGTTAATAATATTATTGTTTGTACTCACCGTAAGTATAAAGCGGTTGAACTCTGTATTTAACAGACGCGGCACATGCCATCGCGCCCGTTCCACCGCCGAGTTGTAAGCCGTGTGATAAAATCTGTACAATCGTGCCCACAACCGTAATGGTCCATCCCCAGCCTCCCTCGGGATAATAACGTCTCGCTAACGTTAGCGCTGCTCGGGCGCGGAGAGCAGAAGCCGTCTCCACACCAACCGTAGCTCCCGCGCTAGCACACCTGATACACCACTCATTAAAGAAACAAACTTTTATATTTCATCACATGATATTAACAAACCACTAACCGGCGGAATTGTGTCACTTCACGTGTCGCTTCGTATCCTACACTTTTTGAGCGTTCCCGATCAGTTGTTTTTATCTGATTATCTTTATTTGCTACTCCACATGTACATAGTAATTCTTCAGGCGTTTGCGGTTTCAATTTGGGTGGACATCGATTGTCACACTCGCAGTCAGGAGTACGCCATGATAGAAGACGTTCAAGTAGTGTTCTACGTTTCGCTGAATTAGTTCTTTTGTCTGTGAACCTTTGGCCACATTCCAGTGGGAATGATGAGCTACGATCAACTTCTTGCGGTCCAGCCTGAATATTTCTAGGGTTAGGGTTCTTTTGAGCGACCCCATTGTTGCGTGTTGACGCGGGATACAAATGGTTCTTAATGGATTCTCCTTTATCAGTCCTATAGTTTAGGGTATTTTTTGTTGTGGGTAGGCCATTCTTTATTTTCTTGACGTCGGTATGAAGGGATTTCCAAGTGGCGATAACTTCGTCGCGGACGAGGGTAGTGTTGAGATTGGAGTCTGTGATTGAGTCAGGTATTTTCTCTGTCAATGGCTTGGATACTTCTGGGCTTCCAATTGGCGCCACTCGTAGTTTGGTTGGCAGACTGTCACACCGACGTAACGTCATTTTTGCTCTCGTCTGACGATCGCATTTTTAAACAGAAAAATAATCACTTTTTCAATCACATGTCACGTATCTGTAATAGGAAATATTAAATTAGGTGCGAGAATATATTATTGATAAGGTATTTATATTTTATAATTATAAATTACTTTTTCTTGTATAATAATTTTGTTTAATATTAGAACCGTTTCTTAAGTCTTTATGAATTATTATCAAAAAGTTAAAGTAATTATTGATGAAGAGGGTTCATTTCTTTCAACATATGTAGGCTTTTTTTTATTTCATGTCTAAGCACATTATGAGAATCTTATTAATATTATAATTTTGTATGTGCTTTATATATATTGTTCAAAGCTTAAAAAAATTCTTTATTATGGAATTTTATTCAAGTAGCTTGTTTTGTAGAGTGATAATGTATAGGTTACGATTTTCACTACAATACTTTAGAAAAGGAAAGCTGGAAATAAAACTTCAGTAACATGAATAAAGTAGTGATAAAAATCGGTATTGGTAAACATAGGGCTTGGAAGATAAGATTTGGGATATTAAAACAGTCGCTGCCGCTTAGTGCAAAAAACATTACAATGTAGAAACTTGTATCAATAAAATATATTTTGGACTACATCTGGCTGAAGTCTGAAATACATGAAGATATACTCAAGATAGGATAAAATGATTAGAAAATATTGAAACAAATGTAAAATTTAAAAACCTACATATACATATGTAACTACAATAAGTTATGGAATTATTTATTTTCTGTGAATGTTATTTCAAGTAAACACTTTTATAATTATCCAATATTTTGCGGTTTTGCTGCCATTAAGTAAAAAAAATAATAATATCACAATTCCAAAGAAAACTACATCTTACCTTTTATCTCAAACAATTTACACGTCTATATATAATGATCACATCTACGCTTTGAAAATAACATCGGCCGACCGAGAATAATTGTTATTTTATTGCTTACTTAATTTAAAAAATATATTAAAATATTCATATTGATATGTAATTTTAAACATATATTTAAGTAAAAAGTTGATTTAAAATAATGTTTTTTGTTAATTCACCACATAATTAACATTTAATATTAAATTTTATTTCGCTTTTAGTTTCACTTAATGTCTTCATAAAATTAAATTGTTATAAACGAGGTGTGAGTTTGTTATTTCCATTTAATTAAATTATACCATTAAGACTGTATTATAAGTGAAAATTTTAACAAATACAACCAAGTTAACATAACATTTGATACGGTTTTTGAACTTTAAAACGATTATTTTAAATTAGACGAATATATTAGCAAGATTTATCTTAATTATGATCTGTCCTGTTTTTTTTGTACAAAGACAGAAAGGTCGAATTCCGAGCATAGCATAGCATATTTTACTTATACTACATATTTGACACTTGCAGAAAATATATAATTGTTGAATAAGAGTTCGCACTGAAAGTTAATGCAGAAGTTTTCAGACAATCTATTTGACTGGTGATTTTGTTCTGTAATTACATATTCTGATTCCTTTGTCGCCTCGCTGTGGAGATGTCAGATGAAATTTTTATTTTTTCCATTCAGATAATCCCTGTATTACCAAATCTTAAGTAAACATGGCAATTGCTTAATGTTTATTAATATTATGTCTGGATATTTGACTCTAGCCATGTTTGATAAGACGGCTGTTTCTCGGGATTTTATATAGGTAGTTTTAAGAGTTGAAAGTTTTGCAACATATTTTTCACTCTTTGAGAGTATTTATAATTATTATTAAGCTGCTTATGTCTAAGTTTTGGCAAGTTTATGTTAAGGTATATTTAGTTTATTAAAATTTACAAATTACACAGTACATTATGTGGTTATTTACAAGAATATTTTAATATTAAAAAAAAACTATTATCTTCATTGGGAGATAATTGGAATAATGAAGAAAAATAAATAGAATTATTGATTTTTTAAATTTCTCTTTTGGTTATAAGTGTACACTGTACGTATGTGTGTTATTTATGTATGTTTGTGTGAAATCAATATAATTTTTTTATTGAGGTTATTCTTATTAAATACATTTGGAAGTAGGCTCTACCAAGAGATTCCTTTTGATATACATAGTTAAGTAAACTTAATCAATAATCACATGATTTTTTACAATTACATTACCTAAAAAGATAAGCTTTTATAATTTTATTACTTTTATATATGACCAGAACCGAGTACAGTACTCGAATTAATGTCAAACACTTATCTAAGAAGTCACGTATTATTAGCTTATTGGTTAGCTTAGAAAAGGAACTCAAGTGGGTAATGTTATTTCAAGATGTTTAACAGGGAGTAAAGTTAGAGTAATGACATTGGACAATTCAAGTAAATGTATGTAAACAGACATAAAATAGTTATTATTTTGTTATAAGTATTTTTTAAGTGTATTTTTTGATCTCTATATATCTATTTATGGTTTTACTTCAATAGTTTAATTTCTGTTGCATCACCTGTAATGTATAAGTCGAGTATTGATCATGATTGATCATGCGCTAAAAGCACTAATGTTAATAGTTTTGTATTGAGTAATGAGGCACAGAGATTTCGGTTGGCTATGTATAGAACACATTTAAACTATGGTGGTGGTATTTCCTAGTGTTATAAAAGATAAACTTTGTGTTATCAGCTTAAAAAATAATATCAATTTAACTATAAGCGTCATTTCCTCTTATACAACCTTATTTATACGTCAAATATTTTCTCTGTTTTGGTTATGATGGTAGCCTTGCCAAATTTTAGTTGGACTTGCTTAATTTTTGTAATTCGACAAGTTTATATTTTTGTTATGAGTAACTGTGGCTTCGAATAATCAAGAAACATTATATTTAAATCTTTTTAATATAATTATTTTACGACAATCATAACATGATAATCAAGTTGCTTAAAATAAATCTGAAATTTTATCTCATTTTATCGATCAAAATTTAGTTACTATTTTTTATTTCAATTCGGAATAGTGAAAATATATACACAGGACACAGCCTATCATTGCCCTAGTAAATTGGAATAACTTCGGCCAACTTAAATACCTTCGCGTTTCACCCGAAAATATCAGATTAGATCTGTACGTGAGCCATGTGTCTGGATTGTGATGATGCTCAAGAGAAGTGCTGGAGAATTTATCACGTCTAAGTGAATTAACTGTTTATAGGTCAAGATCAAGAATTAAGATCAGAGCAAACGAATGAGTATGACCACGAGAATAAAATTTAACTTTACAATATATAAATGATGTCAAATCAAAATCCTGTCTGTTCTAGCGAAGGAAACATTTATTCAATTGACTGAATATTTCAGAGTTAATGTTCGCTTTAGGTTACGACTTTGTTTGATTACTTTTCGGGGAGCTCCTGACAACTTTTTAAGGAGCGATGACTTCTTTCAAATTGTCATATAGAACCTTATTATTTGCAATTGCTTTTTTTTGGAAGATTTTTCAGGACAATTTTTTTAAGGAATTGCCATGGATTTTAGTGCCTCTTGAATATTTTTATTAATTCATTTTAATATAACTTCAAAATTTAAATTTATTGTAGGTCAGTTATTTTTTTATTTATGACCTTAATGAGTAGAAATCAGTGAACATTATCTCTCTGCAATTTCACATACAAGTTTCCAACAGTGTGACTATAATTATATTTATGTCTAACACGGCTTATGTCGTTAACGTCTGAGACAAAGCCATAAGTTTTGCAAATTTGACTCCCAAAGACTTCAAAATCTGTTCATAGTTAATAATATTATTTAAGTTACATATTTATATTTTTTAATACAATTTATTACATTCATTTCTTTTAAACCATACTTTTGGAGCGACAACTTTTAATTAAAAAAACTTAAGGTGAATATGAAGTTAGTAAAAATAATATCAATAATAATATATAAATTATTGCCTCTGATGTAAAAAAGGCAATGCACAAAGGAAATTGATTGCACATATATGTACAAAAGCAGAACTCAAATATGACCAAAACTAATAAATTCCTTCCTCATTAATAGTTCCAGAGATTATTTTTATAATGATGTATTAAACCTGTGAAATTAATACTTTAAATAGGTAAGACTTGGTAATTTTGTTCCAATTATTTACAACAAGATATTTCAAAGGCTAAAGAAAGCTATATTCCACAACATTTATCCAAAAACAGAAGCAATTTATACATCGTGTAATACTGTGGATTATGTGGCCGTGATTATGAATAATTGTATTAAAATACGATTAAGGTGTTTCGTGCCACGCCGTGACAAAGTAATCGTGTTATAGATTAAGACAAAAGCCGCGACTTTATACAAAAAAGACTTATAATGTATATACATTTAATCAATATATACATTTGAAAGTATTTTGTTTAGGTTATTATGAACAAATACAAGTAGATTTAAAACTCTTGATAAAGAATGAAATAGTTTGTGTTTTGATATATCCTAACCTTAGTCTAAAAATTTAACCGAATCGGTTTTGTAGTTTTCGGTAACCAATAAACACAAAATAAAATATTAGTGGGTTAGTGCAATAGTCCGGTTGGACAGCTCGTAAAATGAGTTGCCCTGCGTCATCAAATAAAAAAAAATGGGGAATATCTTATAACAGTGCTATTTAATATTATAAACCAACTGACATAAAAATTTTATTCCTCATTAAGTATTTAACAGTAATAATTCAAATTATTACAATTTGTTTCAAGATTTTCGTCTATCTAATGTAATTTGGACGCTTTTATTCGGTCATGTAAATATAAGTTCTTAATAAGATACAATCCTTACACACGTCAGTCAACAAGAGCAAGTCTCAGGATGTCTCGAGTACTTTTAACATTCTCAAAACAATTGCGTAAGAACTTATCGCTTCAACTCTTAAGGACACTTAGACCTTTGAAGTTTCTAGAGATGCCAAATATTACACAACATCCTAAGCTTGTATGTTATCATTAATCATGTGCTCAGGAAATGTTAATGATATAGGGAGTAA